GCGGGGACGCGCTGCTTAATCCTGGGCTAATTACACCTGGAAATATTTCCTGTTCGAGGCGCAGGCTTTCCCAAGAGTGAAAGAGCAGATCAGGAGAAAGCATCGCACGCACACCCACACACACGCACGAACTTCTCTTTCTGCCCGTGTTAGCACCCTGGCAAAGCTCTCGCGGACGGCTCAGCGCAGGAACCGGGCTTCAAGCTCTTCTCCCTTTCCATTTCTTTCTTCTGCAGAATTTCCATATCGTTAAAAAGCAGGAACAAACAGACAAACAAGCCAACCAAAAAAACCCTACCAACCCTCAGTCTTGACTCAGCCTGAAACTGTTTCAGGCGGAGCTCCAGGGTGCTACGAGGAGAAACAGGGAGAAGTTGCTGGTGCGCCCTGTGGTCCTGGGCACTTTCGTTAACCCCCACGACGAGAAAAGCAGTGTGAGCCCGGCCAGTGCCCAGGGATGCTGCCAAGGGGGGCTGAGCATCAGACCCTCACGGTAATCGCCCCTTTAATGTGACACTGCATCGTAGAGGCAGGACGGTTTTGTAACTCGAGGGGCCAGGGACTAGGGAATAGAGGGGTACAGGGAAGCAAAGCAACTGCCTGGTTTGATATCCATTTTCTAGCTGCGTTTTAGAAGTGCTGGAACATCAGAGAGAGATGGGAGAGAGGGAAGAATAAGCCATCCTTCGCGTAGGTGGGTTAATGTCAAAGTAGGCAGGTTAGAAACAGATGTTTTTAAAGGCTCTCTTTCTCTCTTTACGGGTTACCTTCGAGGATAAATCCTAGCAGTCCGTATGGGGGGCAAAGTATTCATCTAAAGGAGATCTCAGCAAGCCACTCCCGGACAATAGTCCACCTCCTGTTGGGTTGCGTATTGATCAGGAGAGGAGCTGAAGATGTCGCCACACTAAATATTTACTGATCACACACAAATAGCCGGGACTTGAACGATTTTCTCCTGTGAGGAGAGCAGAGAGAGAAGGGTAAATCATTTTATTAGTGTGTATAAAGCAAAGAGCACACTCTGGCTTGGAGTGTTTTAAGATGTGTCTTCAGCTGGATGAAAAGAGTTAGGGAAATCGATCTGGAGTGATTAGACGAGCCAGTCGTGTCAAAGAGAGAGGCTGTGAATTTCATGGATTTGGTTATACCGGGAGGGGGAAAATGTATCGAGAGATTAAAGGGAGGAACCCATTGTAGCAGAGCCAATGAAAAAATAATATCTAATCAGATCCGGCAAAGGTAGGGACGGGATAAGACCCACATTTCTAAAGAATCACACCAGCTAGAGGGGAACCAGGGACACACATGACAGAAGCAAACGGGGGGAGAGCAGGCAAGGAGGAGGCTAGAAATGCTACAGAGTAGATACAGGGGAGGCAGGGAAAAATCCGCCTCCCCTGTAGAGCAATGCCTGAGACACTACGAAAATGGGGACAAAAGACATGGGAGCGAGAGGAAGGAGCGGAAGGGGTAAGCGGCCGCCTGACTTTGAGATCAAGTTGAGGGGACTCCAGAGCTGGGTGTCCACCAGGCAGGGATGTCTGTAACAGCAGGAGCGAGGGCAGATGCTCCTCTGACGCGAGGGTTTCAAATCCTTCTCGTCCAAGTTTGTTCTCCCCTCTCCTCCTCCCCCCACCCCGCCCCAAGCAAATGTGGTGAGTAAAATGGATTTTAGCGTTTAACCACCTCATTTTATCCACGTAATGACAAGTCTCGTAATATGTAATCTGCAGATTACTGCCATTCGAGGGAGACCACAAGTGGCATCAAAAATCAGCATTTCTGAAAATGACAAAATAGCTAAACTCAGCCCGTGCTTAAAAGTATTTCGGCTGGGGAGCTGCTGCTACAGGGTCTCGTCCGCAGGGAAACCTTCAGCGGCGTCTCAGGTGCAACAGCCTCCACCGAGGGGTCCGGGCACACTAAAGAAAACTCTCCTTGAGGCACACGAGTGTGTCAGTGCCCAAGGGCACAAGGCTAGGAGCAGGGCAGGGCTCTGCCAATCGACATTAAAATAGGTTCTTTAGGGAAGCTCGGGAAATTTTGCCTCGAAATCATTGCTATCTGGGCCGTGTCCAAACGCTACCTTCTCTGCGCCTATTTCTCTTCCTAAGAAATAGGATGTGACTGCAGAGGACTGAGTTACAGGAGCGAGGGAAAGTTTGAGCCGCAGTTTAAGCGATGCTGTTCGCTGGGAGGGAGGAAAAACATCTAAAGCTAGGAACCGAAGAGGAAAACTGATGTGAAAACAGCTTTTCATTTCTCCTCCAAGTGCTAATTTTGCTACTGTAAACAAACACTGAAGTTAGAAACAGCTGCAAATAGCCTGCCGGTCACTCGGCGAGGGGATGAAGGGGAAAAAATGACTTTTGTTCATTTCTGGGGGTGCATTTCATCCAAACTCTGCTTTCTCCCGAAATCAGTGGCTGCTGCTGTTTTCAGTTGTGGAGAGGGAAAATATAGGCATATTAACCGCATTTCGTGTTAGCCTATAGAGCTCAGGCAGCTCTGCTGGATCACTAATGCAACAGGAAACCTCGGGATAGACACAGCCTAATTAACAGTTTTCCATAGCTGAAGCGATTTTTAAGAATCCCAGTGGATTAGACCAATATGTTCAGGTGTGAGGCTACGAGGGCCTATAACTCCTTTCACTATAATCTTATAACCTCCTTACCTAATTCCTTAGATTGCAGATAGGAAGAGTCTGACCCTGGAGGTCGTAAAGAGCTCGGTTTCATTAACCCTTCCTTCTCCAGCGCAGAGCCAGGGTTAACTGCGCTAATCTAAAGTGTGTGTGTGTGCGTGTGTGCCTGGGGGAGGGAGAGAGAGAGAAAGGGATCTGCAATAGTGGGAGATTCAACGGGGGTGCAAGGTTGAAAATGATTTCTGCTCCCTTCTATTGCATTCCCCTCCCCTGATCCAAAGGAAAATGGAAATGAAAGGGAACTTTTCTTTCCCATGCACCAGGAGGTGCCCAAATATACGGACGTTTGTGAGACAATTCATTCCCTTTACAACATTTCAGATTTTTTTTTTTTTTCAAATCGTTTTTCAAATGTGGAGGAAATGAAACATTCTAGAAACGTCAGATATCGCAAAAAGCAAAGCAGTCTCCATCTTTAGGACCAGCAGCAATCTCTTTAGCTTCTCGTCCACACTAGAGCTATAATCTTTAAAGAAAAAAAAAAATCTAGAGAAGATTCTCAGCCTGTATTTGTCTGGTAACACACCTGGTTTATATTTTAATAGGTAGTTACATTGTATTGATTCAGGATACCTCTTTGATGTTGAAAGTTAATAACTCTCAAATTATATCTATCTGCCTACATACATAATTGCATACACAGTATAACACTGTAAAAATTTGCATTTTGCTGCACATTCTTTGTTCTTAAATCTTTTAACACATTGAATTGTTCCTTTGAAGAAAATGCTATTGAAACACATGTTTAAGGAAAAGATGCCTCTAAACTATATGTTTAAGCAATGAAATTGTTGAGTGAAATACAGGTTTCTTTGTATTTCGCACAAACCTTGCCATACGCCAATCTTAACCTATGCATCTGAACTGCTTTTTTCTTCCAGTCAGAAGGCAGAAACATGTGAGCTGCTGAGAGAGGTGGGTACTTTTTGGTAAGTTTGTTTAGCTATGATCTTCAGATACATTTATTGTACTTTCAAATTCTTTGGATACTAATTGAGCTAGCAAACAATATCCCAGCTGAATGTCTCAACTCCTTCCCTATTTAACAAGCTCTGAATATAGAATTATGTTGTAGCCATCATTCTACTAAATAATATAGCTTAGAATTCAGCACAAATAAAAAGAAAGTTAAAGCCAAATTATACTTGCTGCCTTATATCTGACTCCTTTTCCTTTCAGCAGTTCTAATAATGAACTCTTTAAATTTTTTTTGATTTCTGAGTGACATTATCAAAAATAATTAGCAGAATCAGAAGCAATTAGAAAGTTTGAAATAATGTGTCTAAATATTTCATATTCCTACTTATAATACTAAGTCATTAGTTGTAAAAAGGAACCTTTATTTATTTATTCTGTGATAGTTTAAAAATACAGAAAGATAGATTATTTACGCTAGCAGTTCCTATTTTCCAGGGCCTGCCTGAGATATGACATAAATAGAGACCGAACTACCGGAAAAAAACAAAACAATAGTATTAAAAAAAGCCCCTAAACCCTGGACAGGGATACATTCAGACAGAGAGATATGCAACTGCATCTGAATATTATTACGTATTACATCAGGGGATTGTTAAAAAATTGCATATTTATAACCTCATAATTAAAATACATTCTTATCTCTCTCCTCTGAGAGGTTGCAGCTTTCTTGGAAGTATTTTGAGTGCATATTTTAAACTCCATGTCCTGAATTAAATTAAGATGAGCTGTTTTATCCAATAGTAAACTACTTGCCTGCTTTCAAGGTTTACGTTTAAACTGCCTATCAATCTCTACATCATTTTCTTTATATTTCCCCTCCTTATGTTTGCAGACTATACTTAAAATGCTATGGAAGTAGTTTATATCAAATTCTAATTTCTACCTGTAAGCAATTAATCAACCTTGCCCAAAATAATCCAGTGCATTTGACTGAGGGAAATTTGTACGAAGAATTTTCACATTAAAGAGTTAAAGCTAAACTGAAAACTTAAAAGCAAAGGGATACCAGCAAACAGTGAAAAATGGCACGTCTGCTCTCTCCTGACAAGCTTGCATTATATCACATGTTAGGAAGCAAAAATTTTTGAATCTAAGACCGGTTTTAGTTTTTAATAGGAAATAATTACATAGAATTTTATTTCCAGAGAGAATGTTCCTTCCAGCTACAGTGTTTTGCTTTGATCTAAGTATTAACTGGTAATAAAATAACCGTATTTTGGATCCTAAGCATATTGATGCTTAAAGGAATGTTATGCTTTCAATCAAATTCTAACTTTGGATTATCCAAAGGTATTCATCCTTCTGTCAGAAACCAATTTGTTCTTTTACTCTCGTACTCACTCACTTCTGTTTTGGTATATTTTGTTGTTTTATATCAGAATTTGCACTATCGAGGTGGAAAGCTTTTACATGGACTGAGATCAAGTTCCACTCGTGCAATTTGTGCTATTTGTCATACAGATCCCCAGTTCAGCCACTCTTTACGCTTGTTGTACACCACCAACATCACCCCTCTCTGAGAGTGACTACTGCGAACATCTTCTAAGCAGTATTTTGTTTTATATCTTTTTCTTCTTTTTTTTTTTTAACCTGGAAATCAATCATTTGGACCCATCCTGAACAACTAACCTCCCCCCACCCCCTTAATATTAGAGACCCAAGCGCAGTACTTCGTAAAGACACGGAAAGGACATCCCAGACACCAGAACCTGAGCCCAAGCTTGTGATGGAGTAAAAAAAGGAGGGAGAAGAGTTTTTATCTCTTCCCCCTGCAAACTCTTAATAGTTCTAAGTTTCAATGTGACAATAAAACAGTTTTGATAACAAAGCTCACGGGTTTCTCTGCCACGTAAAGTTTTCTTAATAATAAAAAAGAAGAAACTTTATCCCTGCTAAATTAAAATAGGGCAGATGTTGGATATGGTTCATATTAGCCAGCCTTTCACCCCTTTGCCCCTGGCACTAAAGTTCTGACTTTTTCTTTATACTATGTCTGTTTCTAACTGAAAGGTATTATTCCTGCCCTAGCTCTCTTCTCGTATTTATTTTTTCAGTGTCTAAAATTAAACCTATTCATTTAGTAACACACATTTTATTTCGGATTGCTAAACCTGGCCAGAGAGGGGAAACATTTTCCAAAAAGTGATGCACCACTGACCTTAAAAGAAAACACAAGGCAGGGAAAGCTGTTCTTAAAAGGTTTATTTCTAGGTAGGTTTCTAGCTCTGTTGACATTATAGGGATAATGGCTGTATTGCAACTGGCTTTCAAGGCCCAAGAGGTTTATGTTTTCTTCTGACCATAAGTGTAATAAAATTTTAAAGGCGCACAAAGTCTCATCACTTTAGATATTTAAAGCTAGATTGAAAAAACCCTCAGGAAACATACATTATAGTGGGAAGCCTTGCCGAGAAAGCGGGGGATAGACCAAAAAAAAAAGAAAAACAAGAAAAAAAAAAGCTTTTCCAAACTAGCTATATGAAAATCCTGACTATTAAACTCCTAGGATAGCACAGTTCTTTTTTCTAGGGCTGAGAAGATAGAATTTATTGTCCATTTGGAACGACCAAGTTTAGGCTAATAAAAGGCCCTCTGTAAGCAGAAATGCCAAAGTTGATGTTTGGCGTAGTTTTCCGTGGTAGAGTTTATATAGGATGGGGCTCCGCACTATTTGAAATTACTCATATCTCCGCAGCTGAAGATGATTTGACATACAGAAGTAAACGCTAGTAGGCAACGGCTGAAGGTTAATCAGCATTGCTTTCTGAACTGGACGTTTGAAAGCAGGAAAAAGTGAAAGCTGCTCCCTCTACCCCTTCCCTTTTCTGAGGCACTGCTAACTTTTATGATTTTTTTTTTTCTCTTCCTCTTTTACTATCTGTCTTTGTGCCTGAGGGCCGGTGAAAGAACACTGCAGATTCTAGATTGCTTTCAGAGTTTCCCTTTGCTGATGATGGATTACCATGTCAATTTAAACGGCATAGGATTAATTTGTTTCAATGATTTCTCTTTAGGCTGAATGCCAGTCTTTTTTTCTATCTCTCTCCTTGCTCTTCAGAATAATAATAATAATAATAATAATAATAATAAATCCTTAAAAACCCCAAATGCTTTTGAAATCCCACGTTAAAAAGACAATAATAAAAACAGACAAGTTAGGTGTAATGTTGCAACACAGTTACAGGTTTGAGTGTTTTTATCTTATTCTAAGGGGCTGAAGCATACAGTCAGTCACATTAAAATGAAATTGGATCCAACGTTTATTCAATAAATACTTGTCTTGTAGGTAATCCAGAGCAGAGTGCTTTTGACACATAAGGACTTAATTTGTCTTGGATAACAAGTTATTAATATGGCACATTTAAACTTGCCACCTACAATCAGGTCATTTAGATCTATAATATGACTCACAGGAGAACTTCAGGAAGCGAGCAACAAAAGTTTGCAACCGAGTTCTAGAGCGCTGCTCGCCGTGCGGAGGCACAGCTCATTGTTTGCATCTGTTCGGAAGACAGTTCAGAGCAGCAGGAGCCACCCAAACCAAAACGGTATACATGTGCTCTTCCTTTAAAGCAAAACAGAAGATGAGAAAAAGAACCAAACCAAAGATTTTTCAATGAGTAATCTTTAAAGTTGTGCTGCTTCTGCTGGCAAACTCACCCCAGCTCTGAAAGTGAGAAAACAACATTTGGTTCTGAGTGGAAATTCACTTGCTTTTGCACCATACCTCGTCCGTGTGCTTTGCAATTCACTTACTTTTAAAAAGGAAGTTGGAACATAATCCCCCCACGAATGTTTTTGCTGTAATTTGA